CATACCAAGTTTTTTTTAAAAATGATTTGATATTCAGTAATAACAAATATTTAAATAAATAAATGTGCTGCCCAAGTATCAATCTAGTTTTCTGAAGTGTTTTCAACAAGATTTATTAATCACTGGCATGGGTTGGAATCAATATCAGAGCACCTTCCTTAAGAGTGAGGAACTTAAACACGAGTTAAACAGGATCATGACAGACTCTTCACACAAGTCATTTGTTTTGAAGTATCAGCCACCTTTGGTAGTGATTGGCTGAAACATCCAGAAGTTTTAAAAAAATGATTGATGCAAAATTGGCTAAATACTCTCCCCATATCCACTTCTGGAATCCCCCCAAAAATGGCAGCCTTTGAGAGTGCAACACAAGTTCTTTCTGTCTAGGACTGTACTATATGCAGAGACCCGTTGGGAATTGAGCTAAAATTAGCTGATCCAATGTTGTATACAGCCCATAAAGTAGACAGAAAAGAAACACATTCATCATTTTTAGCCAATTGCATTCTGATAATGAGAGGGCTGTGCACTAATCATAGAAACATAATCCTTCTGAATCAAAGTCCTTAACTGCCACATATCTGGATCTGTCCTGGTATCAGGGAGCACATCATCCTGTAAAACAGCACATCATAACTGACTCAGCAGCTACACATTAGTAACTCAAACACCAGTGTTTCAGAATGATAGGATGCAGGTTTGTGCCTGAAATTCACACTCTGACAGAGGTATGATTATGGCCATGGACAAAGATACCGAGCAGGCCCTGGTTTAATGCTCCAAAGGGAGAAGGAAAAGATTCTCTCACACCAAGAAACTGTTTGTTCAGCAGTCTGAGTAGAGTACGAGTTAAGAGAAGAGGATGTTAATTTTTTGTTTTACTGAATAACCCCTCATCTTTTTAAAAGATAGATGAGGCAGAACTTAAAGCAACATATTATTTAAAAACATTTAAAATAGCTGTTTTAACTTAAAAAGCAATGTGCTTAATCATGATTGATTCCAATTTCTGCAATAAAACAGCTAATGGGATTGTCATTAGGTTGTTCTAGGTGGTGGGGTCAAGAGAAAGGGCTATTTTATTCTGTGATGGCAATATTAATTAAACATTAATTAATTTCTGTACAGATGTGTCACTATATATGTCATATATATGCCTGAGCACATACACTTATCTACACACAAAAATCATTCAAATCCAATTTTTAAAAATCATAACCACAGATTTTGGTGCGAGAAACCACAACATGTTGACCTTGAAAACCAATAGCTTTGAAAGAGACAGGATTATGCAATGATGGAAACAATTGAAAAAATACACTTACAAGATCTCAACACTGACATAAAGATAGTTCACATGCAGCACGTCAGCCCAACAGATGCACTTCCCACCAGACAGACTAAAGCAACTGCTGGCCCACTTTAAACCCGGGAAAGAATTTAAAATGGCACAATTTTAAAATTCTTCCCCAGACTGAATTCGAAAAAGAAATTCTCCTTTAGTCTCAGATCACCACGTCTTCCTTTGCAGTGATTTAAAAAGATAAAAATTACTAAATCAAACTAGCACATTGCTCCCATCAACCTTCCACCTCTACCAGTTAATTGGCAAAGTTGGACTCGATTTAAAGGTCTACGTTTCTTCGGGCATCCAGGATACCACAAAGTATGCGAGACCCAGCTAAGTGTTCTGGTGAGGTGAGAGATTTTTAGCACCAGTGATAATTTTCAGCTTGGCGGGCCCTCTCAAAGCGTAATTGGTTTTGGAAGCCGCGAGTTAATGCAATCCTGAATCAGAACCTGGTACACAAAAGACACAGCCACCTGATGGCGAAGTTCCACAATAAAATCAAGCCAAGGAATTGATAAGCAAATCAGTTGGAGGGTAGGAGGCAGTTGGTATTTGTTAAGGAAATGATGTCAGGGTTGGAAGTTATGCTGAGCATAGTGCTCCAACGATCGGTGCTGGGATCCTGCTTCTAATTCAAAACAGCCACGCGATTCGGAAACTCCGTGCAAGCTGGTCAAATTCACAGATGACACCCAACGAAGGGGCGTTTCATTTGAAGAGGCAGCACAGAGCTACAAATAGCCACCCGTTTATATTTTAGCAAACCTAAGTGGCAAATGAAATTTAATACTGATTAGTGTAAGGTAACATATGTAGATGAAAAGGTACACCCCATAAATAGTCTTGAAATAATTAGGAGATAAAGTGACTAGCTGGTAATCAAGAAGAATTTGCGCTGTTTAGTCTCTCGGTCAAGGAGGGTGAAATGGGAGGTGGAATGCAAATAAGTCGAGGTGGAGTTTTAATAAGATGCAAATGTTTGGAAATAAGCTAGTCACTGTTAAACAGTGAGATTCTGCATTTGCAATTTAAGGCTTGCGGGAAAAATCAGGAAAAAATTTCTTGCTGTCAAGAATCAGATTTTCTTCATTCACATGGTACTTTCAGACCTTCCTTGCCATTCATCATGCTACACAGGGGTAAATTCTGCCCAATGTCTATTAACAGTTTGGAGTTTAAAAAGAATAGTGTTGTATTTGCATTGTTTGCATGATTTTGGTCAATTCTGTAACTTCGTCTGATGAAGCATCCTCATTTGATCATAAGCTGTTGGACCTGATGTGCTTCAGCATGTTTTAATGTTACTTCATATTTCCAGATCTAACAATCTTCCCGTTTATATACTTGCAATGCCCTATGCAAACACAATGAGTAAAATGCATAAATTATGAGGGAAAAAAATAAAGTGGCTTTAGGAGATTGGTGCTTCTCAACACACACAGCTACTGCACAGCAGCAGTCAGTAGCACAAACAGAATGCAGAATGACAACAGTCAAGAAGAGACAGTGAAGAAATCAAATCAGCCTCTGGCCAATCCACACACCTCCAGTCCCATTTTGGCCACCAAGAAACATTCAAGAGAGGGAGGCGGTGTATCCATGAGTCACAATTAAGACAGGGGTATAACCAAAGACTGGAAAAACCTAAAGTCATTTGATTTCAAGGATCAATAGCCCAACAGAGAACTTCCTGGAATTACAAGTGTTAAATCCAAACATGCCTTCAAACTTTTTACTTTTGTGAGGACAGCAAAGCCCAGTTCATTTTAAAGCTTTGACTGTAGATATGCTCCTTCAGCAGGGTCCTAGATTACAACTTTCAAATTCCTTACTAGCTGGTTGCAGATTATATTTCTGAAATGCTGTTATTTTGCCTCTGGTTACTCAAGTTTTTTTTGTAGTCTTGTATTGGAGGTGGTGGGAAATTGCAGGAAAAGGCTGGATTTACATTAAGGGAGCACAGACTCGAGAAAAAAAGCAAGTTGTACAAAAGAGTTGAAACAATAGAGCTAATGTTCAAGCTTGGAAACCTACAGATGTCAGGGGTTTAACTGCAAATATGATCACTTCATTCTCAGGTTTTAAACTAGGGAATAGATTTGGCATTTTTATATGAATAAAGAAAGATGGGTTTTTCCAACAGACTGAGATGCAAGGACAGTGACAGGTCCTCTTTTATAAAAGGTACTGTTTTGATGAAAACCAGGCCCAATAATAATCTCCCATCCACCCACATTCTCAAACCTACACAGTGGGTCTAGGCAAAAATAAAGCACAAGCTGAAACCCATCAAGACCTATTACACAAGCTGACAAGATGTGTTACAAAATAGTTTATACATTCCCAAACCTCAATATTATTGTGCCCAGTACAAAGCTTCAGAAAAAAATCTGATAAAGCACGTGATATGAATGTTTGCAATGACCTTTCATCACCCAAAGTGAGAAAAGGCTTTAGTTAGTTGGCATATTTTGAGTTTAACAAAAGTAGATCTGAGAGGAGGAATGCAACACCTTTCTGGATCTATTACCAGTTCTAAAAGTGTAAGTCCAATTTGAAAAGTGGTGGGGGCTGGGGGTATCTCTAGGAAAAGATTCACCAAAAGAAAATTGCCAAATACACAAAACCATGATAATGTCAAAACACACCATTTAAAATTTGCTATTAGTGGGTCTTCCCACCCTTCCAAAAACAAATATTGCCAAACATTTTTAATAAAGACAATGCCCCTTTAAGCTGCACACAATGTGGAAGCAAGTATCCAATAGGAGGTATACCAAGAATAAGGTCATTAGTTCAAGAAGCAACCTCTAAAAGCCTGCAATGGTTGGTGGTGTATTCAACCAGACCTAGGATTCATGAAGAGAAGCAAATACTTCACTGTTACTACAGCACTGCACAGCACCAGTTACTCTGGACACCCCAAACTGGCCCCATATTTAGAGCTGCCAGTTTTTGCCTTGCAAGATTTTTGTCCAAGACTACACATCCCCTTTGGGGGAACATCTACTCAAATTACTCAATCTGACTGAGTCTAGAACAATGCAGGCTCTATTTGAGGCCACAGCCTACGCGGTATGCAATACCATAGGAATACTAGAAATTGTACTCATGGAGTCAGAGTTAATGGATTTGAAATACTAACAACA